TATATATATATATATATATATATATATATATATATATAATATGTATATATGTATAGTGAATGATTGGAGTATGTATTAAACCTATAACTAATTCTAATAGCCATTAATTAATTGATAAACACGGTCCTTGATAGCTAGCTAATGAACGTGACATGTTCCTAACACGTAAAGTAAATAATTCTCATCAACACCATAAATATCTTATCTATAAGAGATTTGAGTTGAAACCAAATAACAATATCTAAATGTCTCTTATAATATATATATATATATATATATTGTATCCTTTCGACACCTCTTATTTATTGATATTTTCATTTTTGTTAGGGTGTAAAACCGAGTCATACCCGCAAACCAAACTAGTTTTAAATTTTTATTTTTTTATTTTTTATTTATTTCGTGGGTTAAGACGATTTGGACCGAATCATGATTTTTCTAATTCATAAAAAAGGGTGGCAACCGAGCAGAAGCCAAAATGGGCTGGTTCGAACCGATGTGGACCACAGTGTCCTGCAGCCTCTATTTTTTTGTAGTTACATTTTTGTTTCATTTCTCTATTTTCTAAAACATTTTTATATCTAACATTTTTTTAAAAATATTTATGTCTTTCCCATTTTTTTACTTTTCACTACTCGTTCTATTTTTTAAACATATTAATATACCCATAAATATACAGTATTTTAGCGAATGTATCAAACTTTCCAAAATAAGATCCGTTACTTATAGATCATACCATAGATATTTAATTCGTTTTAATCCTTATAATCTTTTGAACAATTATTTGGCATGTGAGCCTATCTAATAGCTAGGAATACATATTCAAGATGTGCTAACTGTTAAGCGAAAGCTATAATGAACAAAAAATGCTAAATACATAAAAGAAATGTAACAGTTTTGGATCCTTGCGTGGAAATTTCTTACAATATGAATGAATAATGTATTTTTTTACTAAAAACGAATGCTTAAATCATCAAAACCTTGACAAAACTGTATGTTCATCAATACTTAATTCTTCACCCCCTCCCAATATGGACCGTCACATATATATATATATATATATATGTATATTAAATTTGATGTACCAATTACTCGTTATGTTATGACATACCATACACGTGATTGATTGAAAGAGGTTCTTGGCATTATTTTATATAATGAAATGTTTCTATAACAAACACATGTGCCCGTGCGATCAAATTTAAAATATAGGAAAACACACACACACACACGTATATATATATATATATATATATCAAATCATAATATTTCGATTATTTTAGTCCACCATGCACAAAGATATATTGTTGCCCCGTGATTTAATCTGTTCAATTATAAAGTATATATGCATGTGTATGCACACACGTAAACTTCAATATATATATATATATATATATATATATATAATATGTACATGTTATGTGAACCATATGAATTCCACACGGAATAAGTACACTGATCGGGTAAAGGGTTATGTCAAGTCTTTAAATTTGAGGGCGGTTGAGAGGGGCCATATTTATAAAATAAAAATTGAAATGTTTTTTTTCTTTGGTTTTACACCAAAGAGGAAAGGGACAAAAAGGACCACATGACTCACACGACCAATCTCCTTCAATTTAGTTTCATGAAAGATCAATTGCATTATTTTCAATCCCAAACCCCCTTTTCTATTAATAATAATTTTTTTAAAAAAAAGAGAGGAAGATAACTATTGGATTTGCTTTATAACTATAAATAGTTATTAGAAAGAGAAAAGGACAACAAATGGTGGCACCTACTTCGGGAAATATTTTTTAAAAATTGGCCATAATGTATAGATCCCACAATATTGAAATTCGAAAATCATAGCCAAACAATACATATGAGTCATGAGATTAATTACAATATGGATCAAACCAATATATATTCTATGTGTTTGTCTTCAATTATAAAGGGTTGGATTGATGAGAGTGTATGATTCACCATGTTGTTTTTGGTTATGGAAAGTTTAAATAATTCTCAAATTTACATATAATAAAGTACCACAATATGGTGCTAGCCGTAACGATCTTACTACACTTCACGTGGATCGACGAACAGAGACCGTGACCGAGTCGAACTCGCCAACTCGACATCGAGTTTCATAGGTTTTATGCACCATAAATCATCATCACAAGACAACAATTTCCAATGTGGGATGTATCTTCTCAAATCATCTCCTCCCTTTCCTCCGATCTCCGTCACGATAACCTTACACTCGCTGTCACGCGCCGCCATATTATTAACGTGCTCACTCAAAGCCCTAACTAATCTCCCACACATCGGGAACTGACCCTCCGTATGAACTCCGTACACGAAATAGAACCCGAACGGAGTGAACAGATCGGGTAACGCCGTTAAACCCACGCACGAAAGATATTTTCCGATGAGGTTGGAGCCTTTCGTGAGAACCAAACAACCCAGAGGAGCTTTGCCGATCCTCAGCTTAAACACCTCTCCGCTGTTCCAAACACTGAGCATTGCCCAGTTTCCGACATTGTAATCATCTCTTTTGTTGTAATAAGCAACCCATGTCCCGAGACTTAACTTGTTCCTCAGGATTCTGTCTATGTCGTCGGGGAAAAATTCCGCCGTCTCCGCCACGTGTCTTCTGTACCGCAACTCGGCCTCTTCCACCTGTTAGAATTATGTATAATGTTGAATGTGGAATCATTACGTATATTGTAATTAAATGGTATAATTGTTCGATAAGTATATTCGATTTACAGGGAATTAGACATTCGGAAATTATTTAAATCGACTATAGTCTAGGGAATTACCATACTTAGCGTGTGGTACATGCCTTTTGGGTACGTACGTAACGAAACTAGTAGTAAAGACACGTAAAAGAAACGACGCCATTTTAGATCATGAGCTAGTTTGTAGTTTCGATTTCCCATGAAATCATTATAATATAGAATTTTATTATAATCTGGCTTAATTCCTTGAACACATCAGCGCATTAAATTTCTTAAATTTCATCTCATATTCTCTACCGTCATTTGATATTTTCTACGGTCTCTATGCGCAGGTTATGTAGACAAATACATTTCTACCATCGAATTGGCGATATACACAACCATATAATACAAATATATATATATACACACACACCTTTAGTTTGCGAATGGCGATGCCGGAAGGCAATCTGAGACGGCGGTTGACCGGGTTGACCAAGATCGCGGGCGATAAGAACGAGTCGTAGCCGAGTTTTCCGACGAAGAGGCGGAGGGAAGCATCGTTGTCTTTCTGAGTGGCCATGTAGGCGTAGTCCACGCCATGTGCGGCGAACCACTCCTCCAGCTTCCTGACCAGGACTAACCCTATGCCACGGCGGCGGTGCGGCGGCGCAACCCTCAGACCGAGCACGTAACCTGCCTTGACCAAGTTGTCGTGGACCGTCACTAGCTTTATCGTGCCTTGTACGGAACCCACTAGCTCGTTCCCGACCTCTGCCACCTGCACCGTCAATTAATATATGCTGTATTTGTTAATTTTATCGATCCAACGTATGTTTTTTTTTTCATTTAACTTCTAATGTTCTTAGAATAGGGTTCGAACCCTTAACATGATAAAGGTTAGTGTGCGTGTATATATATATATATATAACAGTTAATATAACAATTACATATATATATATATATATATATATATGCACCCATTCTTGATAGTTCAATCGGTGAAACGGTGACGTAAAGCGTCTGTCTCGTCCCGAATTCGCACTTCAGACTGAGAAAGAGGTATTCACATGGCTTCTCTCCGACCCTGGGATTAGTCTGGACTTTGGTCCACGATACCCAATTACCCAAATATATATATATATATATGGGCGGACAAACGAACTGACCATTTCGGAAACTATAAGTAAATCATTGGATTTGTATATTGTGTGAAATGATTGAGAAACATTTATGGTGACACGGAATCCAATATAAATTTGCCAAGTCTAGAATAGGCTACACTTCAAATGTAATAATTAATTAGGTGGATGAATACATATAACCTTTAAGTGAAATAAAGCCAGCACATACACACGCATCCAAAGGAACAAAGATTAAAGTAAGCCAATAAAATAAAGTTGCGGTTCATTAATGTATCATTTGCACCATATAAGTTTGAGAACATTTTTTATTTCATATTTAATCATCTTTTTCTCTAACAAAAAAAAATGTGTAAAATGAAAAGAAGAAAACACAAACCAACATATTGTGGAGGAGACTGTTTCGGATTCTGCAGATGGGATCGCCCAAGGTATCGGTGAAGAGAAAGATCCTGTCGTTGTGTCCGATCTCACAGCTTCTCTCAAGACGTTCAACTCGAGCTCGGTCCGTACAATGGTCGTAGCTCCGAATCACTACAACCTCTTCTCCATCTTCCTCGGAGTGTACCATATGTTCCGTACGTACGTACGTAAAATGATTTTGAATTATATATAAAAATAAATGAAGATATATGGAAACAGAAAGAAAGAAAAAAAGAAAAGTGTGGTTATGTGTGTGTGTGTGTATATATATATATAAGCTCATACAAGGAAGAGAACGAGGCGATTAATTAGAACAGTTATATGTAAGGGTTTAGCCTTACTCTGCTCATGGCGATATATATAGCCGAAAATCGGAACTACTTGACACTAGAGATATGTAACATATGCATATATGTACGTATGCATGTATGTATGTATGTATGTATGTATGTATGTATGTATGTATGTATGTATGTATGTATGTATGTATGTATGTATGTATGTATGTATGTGTGTGTGTGTGTATGTGTGTATATGTCGGTCATAATGCGGAGGATGGTTCATACTTCATGGTGTGTCAAATTAGCAAGGTACTTTTATCTTAACGGATATACAAGATTTTATAAACTTACATAAATTATTTTTTTGTTGATAAATTAAGAAATAATAAATAAATAAATTAATTTTCGTGGGTGGTTTTTATTTTATTTTATTTTTATTATATTAAAAATGGCTAAGTATAACAATGGCTGTGTGAAAATGAAGTGTGGAATGTTGGGTGTGATCAACATCGATGGTATTAAATGCGAAGACAAAAGGTAGTTAGTGTATTTGGCTTTGCATTTTCTTTGTCCCTATCCTTTTTTACTTTCGTTTTATAAATAATAAAAAAATCATATACTATACACTATCACCGTATAATTGTCTGTCCCTGCGATTTGTGCTCTGCAGTTCACTATACGATAATTTATTTTAAAAAAAAATGTTTACAAACACATATATTATATAACAATAAACAGAATAAAAGACATCCAATTTCATATCAAAATTAAATATTAGAATTTAAGGTTGTGTAATAATCATATAACGTGCGAATTACGTACAGCTGTCTCGCATGACCTCTTTGGCTTCTTGTTTAGTTAGGTGAGGAGCATCTTCCACTAAAAATGAAAAATAAATAAATAAATAAATGTCTCGACCTCATTAATTAATGCACGATTAGATTCTTATGTCAAGTTTTATTATAATATTCCTCGTGAAATTTTATATTTTCTCTTTCTTTTTTTACATCTAATGGTTCATTTGTTGTGATGGGTTAACAGTTAACCCCATTATCACAGTCATTATGTTTTTATTAAGTTGATTGCGAGATGTTCACTAATCATAATTAACCAAACCAATGACCCAAAGGTGATGACTTTAATCACAAACGGTGACATGTGGCGTGAGGCTGAGGTTATCCTAACGTGATCTTGCATATGTCAATTTAGTTATAATTAATCCCCTATTTAATCATATCAGAGTACAATATATATATATATATATATATATATATATGTGTATTTATGTACAGTACAAGTTTTGTACATTTAAATGGATATAACTTCATGGGTGGGTATTTGGGCCTGCGGCCCATCGGCCTCTTTACTTTCATTGGAAACTGAAAGAAGATCCCGCTAAGTAAGCACATTCTTGAACTTTTCACTAAATAATTTAATTATTATGGTCCAAAAATATAATGTTAAATAACACAAATTAAATATCGGACGTTGATTATATGTTAATTCGCTGTTGCTGTCTTTTACAATTCTATCTTCTAATTTTTTTTTTGGAGAAAAAAATGAGCTCGGTTGATGGATGCTTCCAACAAATCTCACTTATTGCTTTATTAATCATAGCTATTATAATCATTAGAGCGTTTCACTTGAGTTAATCATCACCAAACATGCCATCTTTAAGTCCCATTTTCTTTTTCCACTCTTAGGATTCGAACCTATGGAGAGCTTCCACGTGTACAAATGCAAAATGGAACAAAATAATTCACAATTATTGTCATTACTAATAATGATAATATTGGGAAGTTGTAGTTAAGCAATATATATTGCATATCATTACAACTTTGGAAAATCTACCGACATAAAATTTTAGAAATTCAATCTGTGACCTAAGCCATGAAAGAAAACACAAATTCTGAATTTCGATTTGAATATATATATATATATTATATATCCACGATTGGAATAACAATTCAATTTATGATATTGGTGCGTGGTTACTAGGGTCGGCGTTTCGAGATTCGGTTCGGAATTTTAACGGTTCGATTCGGGAACGGTTTGTTCGGAATTATAAAATTTGTACCAAATTAGTACCGTATATTATTCGGTTCGGTTCGGTATTATGACGGTCCGGAACGGAATGATGCTAATAAATAAGTACCCAATAAGAACCGAAATAAAGACGGTTCGGAACGGTTCGGGACGGTTCATATAATTCATATAGTATAAAAATAAAAAAAATCCAACATAATAATTTAGACAACAAAATAAAAGTTTTGAATTTGATGTAACCGTAAAGAAATTTAACATAATAATTTTGAAATTTTCTATAAATATGATCAAAATTTTAAATTACGTTTTAAAAATCATATTATATATATATGTAGAAATCAATCTTTTTTTATCAATAAAGTATCTGTAATATAAAAAAATAAATAAAAAGAGATAAAAATAAAATATTTATTTGAACTTACTATTAAATATATTCAAAATTAATAAAAATAAATAATTTATTGAACTTTGATAATGCTAAACAAAATAAACATAAATCTAAATACATGACTTAAACAATTTATTAATATTTAGTAATTATCATAATTAATTATTAATATTAAATATTTTTTAATTAAAAAATAAAAATACCGAAATATCGTTCGGTATTTCCCGAACCGAATCGAACCGTTCCCGAACCGTTCGGTATCTTAAATCTTGTACCGTTCGATATTTTTATATAATACCGAACCGAACCGTTCCCGAATTAATCGGTTCGATACGGTTCGGGACTAAATTTCCGAACCGAATTGGTTACTAACTTACTGTATATTATATGAGAATTTGAGTAATTTGCAGGGGAGGACAAATACGTAAATTCAGTGGCAAGAGGACAGTCGTCACTTGCGAGAGCGAGCGGCACAACTTGCTGAGGGGCTTGGACACGTACGAGCGTCACTGAACTGTACAGTTGCCGAAGCCACGCACGCACATCTTTGTCCTTGTGACTCGTTTAATAGCCACCCAAATTTCGACCCCTCGAATAATTAGAAAATATGAAACGCTCGATTCTTGTTATCCTCTTTTCGGGTTTGAGATTCTATTTGACTTGAAGAAACGAATCCGGATTTCGTTGATGGCTTCCTTGATTTCTACTTCTGATTCTCCGATTATCTCCTTCTCCGTTATTTTCCGTCTGTTTTCCGAGAAATCGTTCAGGAGGAAATCCACGAGCTTTGAATTTCGAAGGGATTGACGCTTAGCTTTCTGGGGAGAATTTCGTTCCATCTTTTTTTTGTTTTTTTTTCTTTATAATGGCGTCTGTTCGTGGATTTGCTTCGTTGACCGAACTGAACTTAACCTATCTGCCGCCGATTTCCCTTCGGCGAAGCCGTTTTCATCCCCGAATTCATCTGAGATTCTCTGCGAAACCCAGTTTGAGAATTCGCTGCCACCGGACTTCTAGCTCGCCGGCCCGGAAATTCCGCGAACTCAGATTATCCCGCTCTGTCGAACTCGACCAGTTCATCACAAGCGAAGAAGACGAAGAAATCAGCGAAGGGTTTCTCGAGGCGATAGAGGAACTAGAGAGGATGGCAAGAGAACCGTCGGACATTCTTGAAGAGATGAACCACCGGTTGTCTTCGAGGGAGCTCCAACTTGTTCTGGTCTACTTCGCGCAAGACGGTCGAGATTCGTGGTGCGCACTCGAGGTTTTCGAGTGGCTGAATAAAGAAAATAGGGTTGATGAAGAGACGATGGAGCTCATGGTTTCGATAATGTGTGGCTGGGTGAAGAAGCTGATTCGAGAAGATTGTGATGCAGCCCAAGTGTTCGACCTATTGATCGACATGGAGTGCGTTGGCTTGAAACCCGGATTCAGTATGATCGAAAAGGCGATTGCTTTGTATTGGGAGACGGGGAAGAAGGAAGAGGCGGTTTTGTTTGTGAAGGAGGTTTTGAGTAGGAGAGACAATTCCGCTGACTCTGTTCGTGGAGCTGATGGCGCAGAAGGAAGAAAAGGAGGGCCGACTGGATATCTTGCTTGGAAGATGATGGTAATTATCGCACTCTTGATATCGGTTATTGAAATTATCTCTGATGAACTGATTTTCGGACAGGTTTACGGCTAGCACTTGCATTTCTGGCACCCCGAAAGTTATGATTATCACAATTTTCAGGATTTGGGCATGTTGTGTATTGAGAACTGATGCCTGTCTGGTTATGTTTAGCCTACCATGAGGCGCATTTTGTTGAATTTCTAGCGTCTCAGTATCAAAGTTGGTCGCTTTGGGTTATATTCTGCTTCTAAAGTTGCTGCTTGGAGTTCAGATTTTGACTGCGTTTTAATGAGACAGGATTATGAGCATGATATGCATTTCTTGCATTTTCGTGGTATATGATCAAAGCCTGTGATATACTATAATTTATAAGTAATCATCTCACATAAAACAGTAGCTCGAGCGAATCAAAACAGTAACGGTGGATGTTCTGTCTGTTAGGGCAGTTCTTTGAAAGGTTTCATGGATATGCTTTGCTTTTGACTGGCATTTGTTTTATCTTCTTGAGAATTAACATCTCGGAATGTATTCTCTTGTGTTCTCAGAGATAAGTTCCTGGACGGTAAAAAATATTTTTGCTGCAGCCAGCAATCCAACGGTCTTGCCTTCATTTAACTCCTGTTAACAGAACCAATCTTCTATTTTTTTTTTACCAATCTGCCTTAGTTTTTCCTTCTCGTGTATTGTCTACGTTCTCTCTAACATGCATTCTTAACTGTTAGCGTCCCGTCTCATTTAGTACATATTCAAGCATTAGAAATTTCTTTTGTTCTTGTGAGATAAATTTGGCAGTGTCTTTCTTCTATCAGGTCGATGGCGACTACAAGAAAGCCATTGATTTGGTTATGGAACTAAGACTCTCGGGTCTAAAGCCAGAAGCTTACAGCCACCTCATTGCAATGACAGCCGTTGTGAAAGAGCTAAACAGCCTTGCCAAAGCTCTACGCCACTTGAAACGCTTCACCAAGGCCGGTTTAGTAGCAGAACCTGATGAACACGGGGCAGAACTCATCGAGAAGTATCAGTCCGATCTCATATCCAACGGCCTAAAACTGGCCAGCTGGGCAATTCAGGAAGGCCAAGACTCTTCCTTTCTGGGTGCAGTCCATGAGAGGCTCCTTGCCATGTACATATGCGCGGGCCGTGGGCCTGAGGCAGAACGTCAGCTATGGGAGATGAAGCTCACGGGAAGAGAACCCGAGCCAGATCTCCACGACATTGTTCTGGCGATCTGCGCTTCACAGAAAGAGGTCAACGCAGTTTCACGGCTACTGGCACGGGTTGAGTTCATGGCATCGACAAGAAAGAAGAAAACTTTGTCTTGGTTGCTCAGAGGGTACGTGAAAGGAGGGCACTTTGAAGAAGCTGCTGAGACGTTGGTACGGATGATCGACTCGGGTTTGTGCCCTGAGTATATGGATCGAGCGGCCGTGATGCAGGGGATAACGAGGAAGATCCAACGGAGAAGTGACGTGGAAGCGTATATGAGTCTCTGCAAGAGGCTATACGATGCTGGTCTGGTCGGACCATGTCTCGTGTATCTGTTCATGGAAAAGTATAAGCTCTGGATTGTGAATATGCTGTGAAAGGAAGCGGAACCTCTGCATTGGCCTGAGACATACAATCAAGATACTCGTGTTTGGTCGGAGGGCTAAACCTTGTCCGGAGGTTTTTACCTTTTTTTTTGTATGTAAATGTGTATGTAATACCGAATATATATTGTGTAGGAAAAGGTTGGTATATATATCTATACACAGTGGTATATTTATGTAATGAAAGTTCCCTCTGTCTATGAACTGCATAATAAAACTTGGAAGGCCCATTTCTTTATATGGGCTTTTATTGGTTTTGATTTAGGCCTAAAACGGCCCAAAAGCTTCTATGAGTATTTGTTTCTCAGACGAAGTATAGATCACACAGGGCGAAGCAGAGTTGCGAGTTACGGAGATCATGGAGGTCGAAATTCCGACAACGGCACCGTCAGCCATTAACGTGGTCGTCAAGTTCGGAGGGAAACCCATACCCATGTCTCTGTCACCAGATTCTACAGTCAACGACCTTAAATCGCATCTCCAATCCATCACCAACGTTCTTCCCCGAGGCCAGAAGCTCATCTTTAAAGGTTCCAATCCAATTTCTCTGCCTGTTTGCTGAAATTTTAGTGGACGCCTTTCCGTTTATTTTTTTTCTGTGATTTTTTTCCCGAAATTTGTTTTGGTTTTTTGTCAAATTTCGATTTTGTTACATGGAAAAGGGAAGGTTTTGGTTGACTCGTCGACGTTAAGGCAATCCGAGGTGGGAAATGGAGCGAAGATCATGTTGATGGCGTCTCAAGGTTTGCACCAAGGGGTAATTTTATATTTTCTCGCTAAAATATGGCGCTAAGTATTCAACAATGAAGATTCCCAGTTCATCTGTAGCTGAACAGGATAGAGATGGATGAAACACTAGATGTTTGCTCAGGAGGATCAAAGTTTAGATGATTGAAAATAAAGAATCCACCTTTATTGCCAAGCAAGAGAAAGTTTATCTTTTTTTCGTTCTAGAGCTAGATATGTACTCGTTTTTTTACGATCAATGTGATTGGGGGAAAAGACTTGGGGATAATGAAGTGGGATTCACTTGAACAGGAAGGTCCAGTGCTTAAGGATGCTGAGACACGACCAATATCGAGGGCCGTTGCCACAGACAAAGCAGAAGGAATGAAGCCGAAAGTTCTCATTGACAAGAACAGAACAGAACGATGGAAGGCAACCGGCATTATTGCTCTGGCTCAATCCAATCTGAAGGTATGTACAGGAGGTTTTATGCTCGTGTCTGTATCTTGTAACCGTTATTAACCCACTGTTCGTGTGACGAATTTGTCATCTGCACCAGAATCTTCTCTTCATTACCAGTGATTTGTGACATTGTTTGGTTTTATCATTTACTCGGTGTCAGTATAGGACAATCAACATGTTATCGTGTAACAGTTTATCTGATATTTTGATAGCTCAATTGCTAATACTTGATGTCCTTGGTTTGGGAAAAGAATATACCTGAAGAGGTGTGGGACTGTGGATCTATAGTCAGAGTGTTCGATGTCAGCAACAATTTCATTCAAAGCATGCCTGGACAAATCAGCTGTTTCAGTTCTATGCAGGTAAGGCTGAGATTTGTAATTTCGTTATTCAAACTTCGTGGATGGTTACAGATTGTTCTAGTTTCTTTCTATAGAAGCTGTTCCTCCAAGGAAATGGTCTCTCTGATGAATCCATTCAATGGGAAGGGATAGCATCTCTGAAGCGTCTGACTTTACTGTGCATCAGCCATAACAAGTGAGTCATCGCTTTTGTTCTCAGAGATCTAAAATGTTCTTCCTCTCATTCTTTAGATGTACTGTTTGTGGTTTGTGTTGAAAAAAACTGTTCTGCCTGTAGAGATTACCACCAACCAATATGAATGGTGTACAAATTTGATAATAGCTATGAAAAATACCAAGGTTAGCTAAAACTTAGCATGGAAAAATTTAAGTTAATTCCGACAATCTGGCATGGCTTAAGGCCCACTCATGAAGCAACTGCATCATTTAATGAGCTTTGTTGGAGCTATGCTGATAAAGGTGTGATGGGTTCTTTTTTTGCAGTCTAACCACTCTGCCATCTGTGGTGGGTTCACTGAAATCTCTAAGACAGCTTGATGTCTCCAATAACAAGCTCACAAGTCTTCCTACCGAATTGGGACTTCTTTCGCATCTTGAGATCTTAAAAGCCAAAAATAACAGGCAAGCATTTCCCGGTCTATATTTGATCTTAGGATAAATAAGACCGTCTTTACATTTTCATTGACGGAACATTTGATGCATCTTTTTGACTTTTTACCACAAAAAAAATAGGGAGGACAAGAAACATTTGATGCATCTTGGTTTGTTATCTACTGCAGGATAAGTAATATCCCTGCAAGTATTGGAGAGTGTGGCTCTCTCATGGAGGTAGAACTTTTATGTCCTTGTTTCTTTTCTTTTTATTACCATGGAATATTTGAAACATACGGTGAAAATCAACGGGGTGCCACACCCCGAGGACTTTTTTAGAAGAATATCTTGAATCAGCACAGAAATCAACCACGACATTAATAGCTAACCTAGAACACCTTACTACAAAAGCGAATATCATACATTCGGTTTCCCTCTAGGATAGCACTGAAAACCGATGGGCTGTTTTGCCTGATAGTTCACTTTTATTGACAAAATATTTGCGGAACTAGGATTGGATGGTGTCATGGCGTAGTTCTAGAGACAGATGACGAGCACTCATGTCAACAAGTAGGCATAAGTCATTTGGAGAAACTCTAGTCTAGGGCTGCTTGCTGTTGGGCTGCAAGATACAAAAACCCAGATTAGAATTTTGGCAGAGAATGCTTCACCGTGGTTGGTTCGGACAATGCAGGTTGATCTCTCTGCAAATCTTCTGTTGGAACTGCCAGAGTCGCTCTCCAATCTCTGCAGTCTAAAGGTAAGAGCTTTAGGTTCCCTCATCATTGTACACACCATCATATGATCTAAGCATGCCCATCCATTATGCCTTTTTTGTTTTTCATAAATATTTGCAGACGCTGGAGATGAGCAACACAGGGGTAAAGTCACTACCGTCTGCGTTATTCAAGGGGTGCTCACAGCTATCCACCTTAGGTCTCCACAACACAGAGATCACAGTGGAGTTTCTCCGGCAGGTTAGCAAGTTTTTCTTTCATTCAACTTCCCAATTTCTTGATCCTATGAAGTAAAAAAAGAAAAAGAAATCTGATGGCATTTGGGATGGGCAGTACGAGGGATGGGATGAGTTTGACAAGAGAAGGCGTACGAAGCATCAGAAGCAGCTCGATTTCCGGGTTGTCAACTCTGGTGATTTTGACGAAGGAGCTGATAAATCCTGGTGATCTGGAAGCAGATTATGTTACAGTCATTGGACTATCTAGTCGATTTTCTATCAACATATGTATTCATACTTTTTGCCACGTGCTGTATAACATATTAAACAGCGAAGTATGTGTGCTCTCTTATTTCCTCTCCTTCTCCAATATCATCGGGAAAGACACTCTGTGGAAAAACATCGTAGCGACAAAGAAACACCAGTTGCGAACCTTTGTCCTAATGGTGGCAAAGACAACCACCACCGCCCATAGAATGGATCAAACACAACGCTACCAAAGTTATTCGGTAATCAGTCTACGACAAGTAAGAACTCCTCGAGACCCAAACAACAATGCGGGCCGATGAAACAACAAACAAAGCACAAACGCTCGATTCCGACAAATTTCCCCTCTCCATCTCTCTCCTCTTTCGGGGTAAATAATTTTTCACCGGAAGTAGACAGAGACGAGGGGAATATCGACATCATTGCCGTCCTCGTCCTCACATGCCACCACGACGTCCAGGTGGCGACGGTAGGGAGGGAGCTCGACCTTGGCAACATCCCGGGCAAGATCCACCACCTTCCTGTCCATCCTCTCCTTGTGCCTTGGGAACATGCTGTTGAACAGAAGGCAGCTTCCGCACGAGATGCTGTATGCATCGAGGCTCGAGACCCAAACAACAATGCGGGCCGATGAAACAACAAACAAAGCACAAACGCTCGATTCCGACAAATTTCCCCTCTCCATCTCTCTCCTCTTTCGGGGTAAATAATTTTTCACCGGAAGTAGACAGAGACGAGGGGAATATCGACATCATTGCCGTCCTCGTCCTCACATGCCACCACGACGTCCAGGTGGCGACGGTAGGGAGGGAGCTCGACCTTGGCAACATCCCGGGCAAGATCCACCACCTTCCTGTCCATCCTCTCCTTGTGCCTTGGGAACATGCTGTTGAACAGAAGGCAGCTTCCGCACGAGATGCTGTATGCATCGAGGCCTTTGCCCCCCAGCCACTTGAGCAGCTCCCTCAGTGTCGGGTTTCCCTCCAGCCTCCACCTGTCCCACACGGTCCACGCCATGTCCCTGTGTTTCACCACTTTCGGCGGCACCGGCTCCGCCATTGAGAACAGCGGCAGCGCCAGGTTGGCAAACGTGTTCCTGTAGTCCTCTACTTTGTGTTCCCCTCCGTCCAATACCTTGTAAAGCTCGAGGCAGACAAGGCCTGTCGCCATGGCCGTCGAGGTCGCTATGGCCGGGATGATTCTCCCAGCTATAAACTTGGCTTTCAGTTTGTCCACCTCCGGAATGCTGTAGTTCCTCGCCCTCATGTTGGCCAGCCCTGCTATCATATCCATGTGGTAGTTCGTATCGTCATCCTACAATAAAAACATCGGGGTTCAAATCGTTATATGATTACCGAATTCTGAAGTCTATTTCGAGACTAAGTGAAACTAACAACTTTTTACCTTTTCGAACTGAATTGGTTTCATCCTGAAGTCTGGAAGCAAGCTCCGCTTACACTTCTCGAGTTTTGCGATGAGTTCATTGATGACAGCCGCATCATCCACGGAAGCTGTGGACAGAGTGGTGGCCTTCTCATCAGTCACAATCTTTGCGTCTTTCTTTGGCTGGAAGTCAGGAACTATCACTTTGTCAACAGCTTCAGCTACTTCTTTTGGGCTCTTGACCCAGTCCGGAACAGGGATCCCAAACGTCTCTGAGCGTAAAATAGCGGCTGCCAAAACAAAGTTAAGGTGGCTCGGGTCAGACGAGGAGAACTGAAGCGGGCGTGGGAATCTTTTAGGGGCGGACCAGAATGGAGCCCCGGTACTCGTGGCAGCGTCTTCAGGGAATGTGTAAATCAACTGCTTGACACGGTTCACAAAGTAATCCTCAAACCTGGTTGATTATACAAAGAAAGCACGTTACAGGATGCACCGACTACAACAGACTCAACCAACCATGCAAATAGTGCAATTCATTTAAAGATGAAGCTACACATCCAGCTGATTATACTATCTCTAGGATAAATTTCCGAGACACTTTCATAGTGAATCAGTTTTAAAAAAATTTGAAACTCGGGGAAATAACTTAGAAGCATATATTGTAGAAAATATAATATGGTTTCATAAGGTGTGTGAGTACCTCAGACGAGCCCAGGTTATGCAGTCTTGGAAGGTTTCGCACTTCTCCCTCTCAAGGCACTCGAGAATGTGCTCGAGAGTGTCCCTGGCCTGAGCATCACCAGCGCTAATCATTGAGTTTGTGTACTCATCCGGGTTTGAGAGAAATGCGTTTACTTCAGC